GAGGGCGTCTACGTACCCCGAACACGTTTTATTTCTATTTTTGCGAGTGTATAAAATCAAACGCATAAACGCGTGCACGAACACACATGAAGCGTAGTTGAATGGTGTAAAATTCATACCTCCCCCCCCCCCCCACACACACACACGCACATTCCTGAAAAAATTCCTGGCTACCGCACTGCTTGTGACAGTCGCACGCAAGACTTTTCATGGCGCGTTCGCACCGATTCACTACACGCGCACCATTGTACGGTTCACTCTTTGGCTTATTAGTGTGCGCACTAAATATAGAATGCAACCGCAGTTAATGAAAGCCAGCGTTACCTGTTTTTCAAAATTTTAGGGATATGGGTTAGCGCACGCCGATTGACGAGATAGAAGTGGTGCTGAATGCAGCACAGAACCTATATACCGACTATTTATGTATCTGTATTTGTATTTTTATTTATTTCACCCTCAATCGCACATAGCTTTACAGAGGGGAGTGGGACACGCACACGCACACGCACGCGCACACACACGTGCACACACACACACACACACACACACACACACACGTGCACACGCACAGACACACACACACACACACACACAATAACCAAGAGCAAACATAGTAACATCAAGATAATAAAGATTACAAGTCATGAAAATTTGATGTTAGGCAATACACTGAATGTACGTCTAAGTATCATCAGAAACATTCGAAATCCTATTTACTTTCTTTCATCTTTAGAAATGGAAATGAAAAAAAATTCTCGAAAGGGTGTCATAGGCGTGAATGGGTGTCTATATTGGGAAAAGAGCGGGGGGGGGGGGGACAAAGAAAAAAATAGAAACATCTATTGTCCACCTCAATAAACTACACGGAAAGAAGTTTCAACTTAAAGGTAGTTTGTCGCATGTTCACTAGAGTATGGAATCTGTGTACTTGTATCAGTAACCCCACCGGCCCATGAAACATGCCGTTCAAGTCAGAAGTGCCGTTGTCGACATACCATTGCGAGATTAGGTTCTACACTCCGAGCAAACAAGCGCGCGTTCTCTTCTAGGATAATGCGTGGTTATGTTCAAGAGTGCGCCGGCGATAACGTGTTTGCTTGGTGGACACGTCAGACGGCGTTTATTTCAGCAGAAGGCGGATACAGCAGGCGCTCCATATATGGTCAGAGCATGACTATATTACTGAGTCACAAACTCATCGAATAACTTTGGCACGAGTCACTCGCGTATATCTGTTATGCGTCACCGAATCTGTAGATAGCTAAATGCGTGTTGGCTCTCCCAAAGAGTTACGTACAGGGCAATGACTCGTCAATAATCGTTTTTGAAGCCACACGCCGATATTACACTGCAATATTTCTGGCAGTCTGCCACCTTTATTAGCATCAGCGGTATTATTTCTCGTAGCGCATTCGGGAAACGTTTCAAAATATACTGGCAGCTTATATTAAAAACATCTGCGTGCGCCTGATAGCAGGTCTATAGTCTAGTTAGACGTCGTGCAAATCGCCCGCATGTTTGCTGTCTTTCTGTGATGCAAGATAAACGTTGAAATTATATGGTAATGTATGAACTATCTGGTTCATGCTTTGCTATACAGCCATGCTGTGTAAAGAAATAGAGAGAGAGGCGGACAGACAGCTATACGGTTCTGTCATTTAACATTGCGACTTTAGTTTGAGTATATAAGACCGGATTAAATGGTGGGCGAAGCATTTGGCACGTGCTTGTCGCGTTTGCAGTGCTAACTTCTTTTTCTCGGCTTAATATCACCGCATTCGGGATTGATTCTCTCGCTCGGTACTCCTTACAGATAGTTTGAACGAAATAAGCGTGATTTGAAGGGCTATATGTATTCTTTTGTTCGACACAACAATATTGAGAAGCAGCAGACGATCGAGCCCCGGAAAGTGTTGGGAAGGAAGGGATGAACGGGAGAGAACGGAAATGCAGGGATGTTATAACCAGTCTAGAAGTTATCTGTGGTTACTGAGACATAAATGCGAAGAAGTGAACGAAAAGATAACTTCTCGAAGGAAGAGACGGAGCCCGCAACCTTCTAGCTCGATGTTTTATCGATTAGGTGACGGTGGTGGTCATCTTACCGTATATACTTCATCGGGCATGCCTGCTGTCAGTCTCTCCCCCACCTTTTTTTCTTTTCCCTCTCTTCCCTCTTTCTCGTCTTTCTTGTCCCCTTTCCTAATCCTCCAGTGTAGGGTAGCCAACCGGATGTCTTTCTGGTTTACCTCCCTGCCTTCTCCCTTTTGTTACTTCCTCCTCCTCCCTGTGCATTTAAACTTAGGAGCGTTAATCAGCGCTGCTCATAGCCATGGCGGTGAGTGTGGTACAATATCCTTGTTTTTGAAGTTTGTTATTCAACGCGGCGGCGTTACTTGGCTACGCTAGCGTAAAAAGCGTGATCACAAGGAGTTCGGAAGATCCGAGCGCCGAGAACACGCGGCTACTCCCAGCGGAACTTATCGACGCCGGCGGAAAGGGCAACTGTAGCCGCGAGTGACGTGAGCGCACAGGCCTATTCAGGGGAGGGGTAGGCTGGGAAAGGAGTGGAGAAATTTCCTCGGAGATGCACAGTGGTTCAAGACACCCCGGAATGTTTAATTTTGCTTGCCTACATGTACACGCGCACACACAAACTTTCAGACGAACAAGCACAGAGGATACTCCATCATACGTCCCCCTCGCCTCCACCCAACCACATTCTTCGTCCGGAAAAAAGATTTCCCGCTAATTCCCGCCGAAGAAGCCCCGATCACCGTGGTATCGTCTCAAAGGGTTCGAGCGTGCCAGAGTGCGCCGTGTCAGTCGGCTTTCAATTTCGATGGAGGAAGTGTTGTGGTCGCATCCACAACTGGAGCAAGTCTAATGTGGCCATCGGCAGGAGACTGGTCGGTGAAGCGCTCCTTTGACAAATCAGGAGCGTGAATTGAAACGGGTAAAAGGCACTTGTATAGGAACATGCTCGGCGAGCCTACGTTTTTTTCATTTGATATCCGAACGCGATTGTGCGAAACATTGACATGCCGGATGGAATCGTCAATGTAGCAGTTTCAAAGCTGCGATATGCGCAGAAAAGACGTTAAAAAAGACATGACAAGAGCGCGGTTCTTGTTACCATCAAGATTTGGGCACATCGCATGCAGTGAGAGCAAACAATTTAGAGTGAATGAACGGAGCATTCTTTAACATGTTTCGGCTTCTCGCGTTGCCTCGTTTTTTAACACAACTGATAAATTTAGCAGCACTCCTCCCCTCGAGCGCGTAGGCAGAAATATTATGGGGGGGGGGGGGTGTGGCAAAGGCCTGGGGTGCCATTCCCTGGCTACGCCTCTGCCTCCCCTTAACAACATATGAGCAACAGTAAGGGCTCTCGTGTTTTCATATCATAAGAATATGCTAGAGAATGCTCTAAAGCTTTTTTTTTTCGGCTACATTGACTTTCTTTCATTAATTGACTGACCATAATCTAACAAAATTTTCATATTTCTTCAGAAACAGGGTTTAAACCAAAACGTATAAGGAACTTTGCTTAAAGCTTAACTGGATACACATTACAACCTTTTGTCTACATCTAATATCTTTGTTTGCCTTTTCTTCTGCGGTTTCAGTGCGTTATTTGGTTAAATATATTTCTGTAGTTCAGTATTTCATAACAGATGACTCGTACACTTTCACGTAAAATATGAAAGAACCAACTGCCCAGTTACGACTGTAACAAATCGAACACAACTGTGCAACCCTGCGTCACAGAGCATGTCGGATGAGACGCTTTTAGGGTCAAACGACATATTCAACCATAAACTTGCTGCTGTGGTATCAATTGACGCCTTTCAGAGCTGTATCGTCCTTTTCAAAAAAGTTATGACTAATTGATTCAAGCACATCAAGTCAGTCTGCATGTATGAGTGGACAGTGTAACTGTACACAAACATTTGTTGAGGGTATTTACTAAGCCATGGAAACCCAATATGCTGATGACAAAGGAATGTCGAGTTCACTATACGCTACTTATCCCCCCTCTGTTTCGTTGAATCTCGGCCGTCTGCTTATGCAGATGCAAATTCACGAGATCTTGCCAATAAAAGTACACGCAAAAAATGAAAGCGAGAATTTTTAGCTGCATCCGATACGATGTTCTCTCATTCCGGAGAACATATCAATGCTAATTCAAATAAATGTGGTAAGCGAAGAAAACGCCAACTTGCATGATAAGTCTTGGTTCAAAGTGACACCGTGTCGTACGCATACGCCAGTACGTTTTGAGTGTATTCGTACTAACGACACCATTTTGCTGTACAATGTTGATTTCACATCTAGACATCCGATCCACTAGCGTGACAAGAGGCCTCCATTAGGCGTCCATGGAAGAAAAATTCGGTGACATATATTTACTGCAGTTTTTATTGCCGTCCGCGATACGACGTGGAAGCAGGTGTTATTGGCTGTTGCTGTCACTTGAACTATCATCGCGAAATTGATGACAGGTGCTTATCTCGGTTTCGTTGATGGGAAAGACAGTTGGACGCTGTTTTACGATAGCAACTACGTGTGCACTGTGGCATGCGCGATCGCTAATGAGAATTTACGTACTACCACTCATCGCTACAATCACCCCTAATCAAAACATACATAAAATGCTTGTACAAATTTCAAATTATAAAACAGTCAATTTTTACTCTTTCTGGAAATGTCTCAGACTAACTAGTCTTTTGGCATCTTGTCACACAACGCGTAGATATTCTGAAGACCGCAAGCGATTAACAACCGCACTCCATGAGTTTTCATAGAAAGCAGAGAGTATGATTTACATCAATACATAGTCATTGTCCCGTACCGAGCCTCCGTAGGCATTGAAACAGCTGGTCGATAAACTGAACTGAATGAATACGATGAAATCGCTTGTGGTTACTGAAACAGATGAGTCGAATGCAGCATCCCAAGCGAGGGCCCGTGCATCACCTATTCCTTTTCAAACTTACCACGTGATTCGGACGTGTCGTCGTCGTCACCGCCGAAGGTTGCTGACGTCACCAAGTGCAGTGCACAGCAGAGAATGAGGGCGGCCACCAGAACGAGCTCACGCATTGTTTTCGGCGCTGTCAGTCACACTCGTGACTCAAGCTGGCCCGCTGTGCGCTGGCGATCTAGCTACCGAAACCCTTCCTGCACGGACACGACACGATGTGACGCCGCTACGGCCGAGCCAGCTTTGAAAAAGTGCGGGCTCCTTTCTCTCCTCCCCAGTGACGGTCGCGAGCGGAGAGGGCGGGGCAAAGTCGCTACGTAACGATTCACGTGACTTCCCATTCTCCAATCGCGCGCGCGCGCTGCTCGCGAGGGAGAGAGGGTGCAAACTCCTTTTTTACACCTATTCGGGGTCCTCGTTTCAGATTGGCATTATTTCTTTTCCCTCGTCAAGCTGTTCTTGTCAGTGAACCGTTCCAATGATACCTACCTGTTCGCTCCGAAGAGATTTGGTAAACATGTGGTATTCGTGGTGTATCGTAGCTTGCTTACTTGTTCGATTCCCCCCCCCCCCTCATTTCTTACTGGGCTTCCCTTTTCTTTTTTCTTTTTCAGGTAAAAACATTCTTGCCCTGTAGACGACGCAACACAGGGAAAGTTAAAAAGGAGGACCCATATTCGAAAATTAGCGTTATTTTAGCAGAAAACATATAACAATTTTGAGGCTAGAAATGTTATTTGAAAGAAGTCTGCTTGCGGTGACTATCTCTCGCGAAACAAAGTGTTTGTGAAAGTGGTCTCAGGACTAGGAAGGTTTACATGCATTCTGCAATGCGTTTCACGCAAAAAAAAAAAAAAAGTGAAGCTGGGAATTGCCATTGAATAAAATTTATACCAGTGTCGAAAAGTTGAAATGCAAGCAGGCCGATAATTTCATAGCCTACAGTTAGGTGCAATGCCTTTTGGATTTACTCACGCTCAACTAAGTACCAAAAAAAATTTTGAGAACTATTCATGCCAGCACTGGGGAATCTATTTGCGTCTCTTTTGAATCGAAAGACAAGAATAATTTTCTATGACGTCATCATATTTACGCCATAGTTGCCATCATCAAATTTCACGACATCAAGTTGCGCATGTACTGCGTTCAGCAAAGACGCGACAGGTTCGTTCGGGCACAGCTATCACGTATATTTTTCACACGCCGGTTAATAAAGCTGCAAAAGAAAACGCAGAAGCGCAAATCAGACGAGTGAATGCTCTGCTACCACACGCTATGACTCGAGAAGTCGGGGTAACGAAGAGGCCCCGAGGGAGTACACAAAGAATATTATAACGAAAAATTACAGATGCCTACAGACACCACAAAGAGAACGAAGAATCACTGGGAAGTAGCGTCACTCATAGCTGATTTTTCAGTCGCAAATCAGTGGTCAGGGACTCTCTTTCTCTATGCTTCTTGGATCTTCAGTGGGGTTCATGCGTGTACAATTCACCGCAATAATGTTGAACCAATTAGCCCACCAACAAGTACTTCTCCTCACAAAAGAACCACGCAGAGTAAGACTATGTATACGATCATTGGGCCCGGTGTTCCTCTAAAATTGTCGTAGAGCGCGAGGTAATATGAAAGGTATCTCCAGAGTAAAAAAAAAACTTTTGTTCCAGAAAAAGTGCTACTCATTCGCGTATCCAGGAAAAAGGGTAGGTATCAGCCCTCGCCCTCTTCCCTCCTCGAAATTCTCAGTTTTTCGTTTGGCTGTATATGTAGAATCACTCATACGAACGCCCGGACGAACGCGCATGAGCTATCGTCGAGCCCCACTTCCTCTTAAAAAAAAAAAAAAAGTTCTGGCAACGCCCCCAGTTCAACTATAACGTTCAGTAGGCTTAGTGCGGTCTGTAAGGATGAGTGCACGGGCTGCGATTGGCCCGCGAGAACTTTGGAGCGGAGAAGGAGAGGTAGAGAATGACGCGAGTAAGGGGAATTCAGGTATGAGAGAGGAGTCCTTTTTTTTTCACTTATTTACGCCCCAGAAAGTCGGCTGTGGGTCTGGGTCACTGGGTCAAGCCTAGGTGAGCTTCGCTGCAATATAACCCAATTTGTGCCTCCGCCGCCCCTTCGTGCTGCTATACCCATATATGTTCGTTCTTGCTACTCTTCCTCGCCTATATTCCTCCGGCCATGCATGGTGACTGTAAACTTCTCAAAGGGCGCATGAGGCGCATGTTTTTTTGTGTGTACAATTGTTTTTAACGAATTTGACTCAACCGAGATTTTCTGTCTCCCTCTGAAAGATGAGATGTCAATGCAAACACCTGTGAAGAAATAACAAGCGATCGAGTACTCACGTCGGCGTGAGCTCCCGTTCGCATTTCACGCAAGTCGTCAACAGAGTTCATTTGACCCCACTTATTGTGCCATTTTCTTTGATGAGTCATCGCGGTAGTTTCAGTTACATTAAACAATACAGTGACATTCTTCGCAATATATTATTCCATGGATATACAGAGCATTGAGATTTTATTTAGCGAGTTGTTCTTGCTATTCACTATATCACTGGTTGCCTTCGTGAATGGAGTGCTCAACGTCACAATCGACTTGCATCTCCTTATGTCAAACACTATGGGCTATGAACATTGTATAGCCGAAGAGCTTTAAAGATTTTGTTCTGTCGAGCGTGAAGGTGATTTCAGAGATCGAGCCAGGCTTAACGTTTGAC